AAAAATTTCTCGCTAAAGGTGGTATAATAAAAAAAATTGATAAATTTATTTCACTTTATACAGTAAAAACAACTGATTAGAAAAAATTGTAAGTGATAACAAAGTTAAAAGGTGATTTTCACTACCTGATGAATAACATTTTAGCATTAGAAGAAGAAAGAGAAAAAAGAAACTTTTAACTTATTCGAATATATCGATTAAACATTGAAAAACTTCGGCTTCGCTACGTCTATTTTTTTCAAGAAACCTCGGAAATGATGAGAAATCGAATCAATGACGTTGATATTATTTATACATATGAAGGGTCAATGAAACCCTCAAAAGCTATGTTTCGTCTTGTTTCGAATGCCAAAGTTTTTTCTCCTTTTTCTGTGCGTATATAAATATTCATATATATATATATATATGCATATAGTGCAAATAAGCAAAGACGTTTCATAGACAGATACATATAAAATCAAACGTCTCATAATTCATTCTTATCGAAAACTGGAGAAATATTTTTATCTGTTAGTAAGAATTGTAAGTATAAAAATGTTTTACTTGAGTGGGTGCTAAATACTGTTGTAAAAGTGTTTATCATCTTTTTAAACGCGTGTTAAGCATAAAGCAAGAGGATATGAGAAAAATATCAATAACTAGCTAAATATGAAAAGATCCTCTACCACATTCTATAAGTAGTTGGAAAAACTTCATTCGTTCATTTTGTACTTTTTATCTAAAACTAGAGTATAATCTCATTTTTGAGATCATTTATCTTCTTTTCTGATTCACAAATAGGAAAAGATCTTCTCTATAACTTGTTCGTTAGTCTTCACCATAAAAGCAATATCCATCTGGTCAGTTTGCTTGAGGGAAGTGAAACACAAGTAATCTGGCATTTTCCCAATTAGTTCTATATTTATCATTTGAAATTGTTTAATGAAGGTTGGTTGATTTAACTTATTGATGTTTATATGATAAATTTGTCTTTGAACATATATGTATGTACGTGTATGCAATATACGTAGTATATTGTAGGAAGAGATTAAGAAATCAAAAATGGAAAGGAAGAGAAAAACGGCATATCTTTTCTGTTACAAAACACATGTAATAATCGTAATCAGTTGAAGTCTTAAAACGAAAGAAAAACTTGTGTAACTAAATCTGATTGTTTTTATATTTCTATACAGATCACTAGTGCCGAATAGAAATGACAATAATCTATCTGATTATTATCAAAGTTTTTCACGATTCATAGGCTTAAAATAGCAGAAAATCGAAAAAAATTAATGAAGAATAAAATGTACAATCAATAAATGACTTTAGTATAACAAATAACTTCAAAATTTTCTTAATCAGAAACTTTAATTTAACAGCATAATTATTAAAAAAATATGTTTTCAGAATGATATGAACAAAATTTTGTTGTACACTCTTTTTTACCTTTCTAACATATTTAAAAGACGTGTTTTTGTGTTGTACTAAATCTACTCATATTATTTTATTTGCTGTTATACTTTTGAGTAATTGGAGAATAATTCTTATTCTAGTTAGCAATGTGTCTTCTATTGTGTGACAACATTTGTCTTTCTTACTTAGCTGACGTAATCCACTACTAAACTTCGTTTATAGATCAACACCTGAAGTTACAAGCTTGATTATTAAGAGGCGGGTCAAGTACTCCTACATATATCTACACATATATAGAATAAGTAAACTAATAAGTCAAAAATGTTTTTATAACGACTTCTTCTTTAATAAGCAAACATATTAAAAATATGTTGATTCTATAATAGTGAGAGACTAATTCGAAAGTTTCTCTCGTTGTTGTTTTTCGATATCTATTAGAAAAAATCTTTTAAAAAAAGAAGAAAAATGAACAGTAAGTTATACAAATAACTACTCTCTCTCTCTTGATATGTATATCAACAGTGTAAGTTAGACAGGCGATATGTGTTTGTATGCATATAGATTTTTATTATTAAATATACTCATAAATATATTATCAATTGGTGAGAAATGTGTACAATACTGAAAATTAATCTTCAAGATCATTATTGTTATTTTATAGAACCAGAATTGTCACAAATCGTATATCTCGTTGACCAAATAACTTTCTGCTGTTAAGTTTGAAGTTAACTCTGAGTGATTAGGACGATTGTGGATACTAAATTATATAGTTGTCTACCTTTGTTACCTCGACCAACGGTGTTATCTTGTTTAACTAACACCTCCTCTCTCTCTCTCCCTCTCTCTAGCTCTTTCACTCATTAGACAACAATCGTTTATGTAGACATCTTATGTTAGATTACATCATTTTATGATAATCAGCTTTTTGACATCTTCGTTTTCTATATTACTTCTATTTCGTCACAAAATAGTCATCGTTCTTTTTATGTCACTCATGTCATTTCTTTCTTTTTTTTTCTCTTATTATGTACAACAAATAATAAAAGTTTTTTCTTTTCTCTTTCCCATTCATCTATTTGTACATCATCATCAAGTTTTGTTTACTATGTAATAGAGAAATCAAGAATTCTACTTCAAACATCAAGAGTAAAATAATATATAAGAAATGAATAATAAAACCCAATAAAATACAATTTTAATGTGACGGTGTCTTTATACAATTCACTTTTATATATCGTATAAAATTTTTTGTAACTGAAAAAAGACCAACTAAGATTATTTTTTCATAAAACCATAGAATTTTCATGTAAAACAGAATGATATGATCAATTTAAAATTTCTTTTTCCTATTGGCATTTTTTTTATATTGTGTACACAAATGAAAAACAGTCTGGTTAGTTAATTCAAAAAATTTCTTTTTTTGAGAAAAATAATTTGAAAAAAATAAAAAATTTTGCTTTAGTTTGAACGGACACCTCATTTATTTATTTGAAATAGTTGTGGTGTTTTTTTCTTCTGTATAGCTTTTTTAAATTATAGAAATATATCAATATTAGTGCCCTTACTAGAGCATCTGTTTTTTGGACTCAAAAAGACGCAAAACCGTGACCGAAACTCTAGATAAGAGGTTTGCCTTACATGCATACAGATTTAAATTTGGGAGGTTCAACATCGCATAATAGAACACATATACACCATTACAGATGCAAGCATGTTCTAAACGGCGAGTAAATATTCAAAAATCTTCCATTCTGACTGTCATCAACATTTTAATTAGAACAGCTCAATTTGTATTTTTGTGAAACCAGACTGATTCCATTTGCTTTGTATTCATTCTCAAACAAATCAAAAGTAAAAAAAAGTTAATTTTACGTTGTTCTATTCTTTATGTAGATACGAAAATATTTTACTATCTTTCGTCAGTATGTCAAATTATCTGTTAAACAAAAAGATCAATCTAATACAAAAAATGTCATTCTCATCTTCATTTCACGCAAAAAAGTTCTATTCGTCGAAAGAAATACTCTTCTTCTCATCGAACCAATTAGAAAATAATAAAGAAGCAAATAATATATATCGGACTTAACGTTTGGTGGTTGAGAAGAGAAAAGAAAGAGAATAATAATGACTTTGTTTGACTATATAGTGTTGAACAACATCATTAAAAACACATATTTTCTTTTCTCATTCTCTCTCTGCCTCTCTTTTTTTTCTCGTTACTAGTCAATCATTTAATAGCTTGTTATATGTTTTAAGGCAACCACGTGAAACTTGACTTCTCATATTCGTACTGTGCTAAAAGTTTTGTTTCATAATTTGGTCAAAGATTTGATCAAAATGTGCATTATCTAAACCAAAATACGCACGGTTGCTCGCTTGTAGACAAAATATGAAAAAATCTCATAGGAGAACAAGAGATTTATGTGAATTAATGAATGTTTGTTTTTTATACCTCAGTTCTTTAATCGATTCCAACTAGCCAGAAATGTCGTTTTTTTGAAATTTAAATTTTGATACTTTTTATGTGTTATTCTCTTGCATGAGTCTGGATCAACCTGAAATATTGATTGCATTGAAAAGTATAATCTTTTAATTCAGTTCTCTTTTCACTTTAACAGAAAGAAAATTCTATATATGATAAATCTCTGAAAACAGTGTTGATGGTTATTGTGTTCGTACACTACAACACGTAAGTGTAGATGAAATCTATCTACAGTCGAGATACATCTACGGTCGAGCCTTTTTTAACGACAAAATGATTGAAACACATATGGATCATTTCTAGAGACACAATTTAATCAATTTCGGCAAATGTGAGCCATCGATGAAAACCCTCTTAGGTCATTCTCAGCGTAATATACTTTACTTAAACCATTGTCTTGCAATGTACACTAAATATGTATATGTAACGAAATTAGCTCAAGTAAATTTTAACAATATCTCATATCAAGTCGTAAGATCATTCTGCAATACTGTGTAAGAATCCCATGCAAAAACGACCCAGTTTTTGGCTCATTTATCTAGATTATGCACGTACACCTGAATCTAGATAAATGACTCAAAAAATTGGGCCGTTGTTGCATGGGTTAAGTAGAGCCTTGCACAACAAATCTATCCTAACCTGTAGAACAAATACTAAGTTGAATTAAACAGAGAGAGCCGTGTGAATTCAGGACAAAAATTTATCTCCTAACATCATGAACTCCCATCAACTCTCCAGTCATCAATTATTAAGTTAACCAGTTAGTTCTAAAGCTCAGTTAGTCACCTTTTCACATGGCCATTCTTGCACTTGTACGAGCTGCGTACAGTTACTACCTAGTTCAGTTTGTTTCTGGTATAGAGAGAAAAAGAGAGAGAGAGAGAAAGAGAAAAGAAGAGAAAAAAATGATGTTGTGAGGTTTTTTTCATGTACACAACGTAAAATTTTCTTTTTCTCTTCTCTTATGATTATGCACATATATTTCGGTAAAAAGGTTTCCTCGTCAAAAAAAAATTGTGTGCGGTGGACAAATACACAATTCTAATTAGAAGTTTTATATAATAATAACAATAAAAAATTTTCTTCTCTCAACACAGTTAAGTCATCCCTTTCAAAATAAGACAAAATGTCTGAAAGTTTAAAACATCTGATAAGTAACAATAATAATAATAATACAAGAGATAGTAATATGCACATCGAACATAATGATCATTATCTACCATCATCACAACCGTGGCGTGACACAATGCAGCAAGATTTATTTAATCATCATCATACAGGGTATATTCTTATAAATTCTTGTTTTTTGAATTTCATGAATGAAGAAGATATCGAATATCTTGATGAAACCTTTTCATGGTTATAAAAAAACCAATCATAATGTATTTGTAAAAAGTTGTATTGAAACCCATCATACCTGTACTTAGAAGTGCTGTTTTTTGTACACTTAACGTTTTGTTATATCTCTAATATTTCAGATATTTGACTATATCCCACCCCTAACCTCGATATTTTAAGTTAACTGAAGTAGTCTTATTTTTTACGACCTTATTGTTTTCTACTCTGAGTATCTTCTCGCCTGAGAGCAGTACATACAATTTGGAGACGATATTGTTTAACTATTAAGGTTTCCTTTTAATATTTCAAAACAACTAATTTGAGATAAGAATTTAATTAGTCTTTTAATTTCTTATCATTATCTATATATTCATCTTTTTTTTGTTCCATTGGCACGTGCTAGTAATCTTCTCATTGAGGAATATGTCATTGATTTACTTTTGATGAAAAGATAATGTGTATGGTTTTAATTTAGGAGTTTGATATCGTCATGGCGAGATCGGGAACAACAATCGTTTACAGATTTACACGATTCACTAAGAATGTTACCTCCAACATTTTACGAGCCACCCGGCCATCATCTTGCACATTACGATAGTTCATCATTGACTGTTCCATCATCAACATCATGTTATGCATCAACATCAGATCCGCTCGATCCTCTCTCTCAACATCATTACCCTTATGGATCTTATGGACATCATTCGTCAATCAAACCTGAACCACCTCCATCATCAGCTGCTTCGTCAACATCAATAGCATTACCAACGCCAATGAATGTCAATGTTTCAATGAATTTTAACTCACATAGTGTTCAATATACTGGTTATCCAGCTCCATTTAGTTTCACAAATCCGACAACGTCAAGTTTACCATATGAACAATTCTACAGGCACCATCATCACCATTATGACCATCCAACTGATGTCAAACATTCATTTTTACAACAGTCAGCTGCCGATGCCACAAAACAAATGTTACTATCAGCCTCAGTTGGGGTTGGCTGTGATTATAAAGATATTTCTAAATTTTGCGAATTGTTCCCGACAACGGAAAAGCGAGGGTAAATTCATAGTTTTTTAATGGCGAAAAATGTATTTTACCTTCTAATCTTTGGTTTTGTAGACCATGGATACCTTCTCAAAAATCGAGTAAAGTAACTGAAGGACGAATAAATCGGTGTCGCATTTGTGGAAAAATCTACGCAAGACCAAGCACATTGAAAACACACATGAGAACACATTCGGTGAGTGTAGTACTAATAATTATTTTTCGACATTATCTAGTTTTCTTATTTCAGGGAGAAAAACCGTACAAATGTGATAAATGTTGCAAGGCATTCACACAGGCAGCAAATCTCACCGCACATTTACGAACACATTCTGGTGAAAAACCATTTTCATGTGATATATGTCATCGAAAATTTTCTCAAAGTTCATCCGTTACAACTCATATGAGAACACATTCGGGAGAAAGACCGTATCAGTGAGTATTAGTTTTCTCTAAAATCCAGTGAAAGATAATCAAAGTATCTGTATGATCAGGGGCTACAAGTCTAACTACTACATTGTCTTAACTACTACAAAAAAATAAACCAATGTTAAAAAAAGTAATCAGAGTATCTGTGTTGAATTTTATCAGCAAAAAAAACTGTTTTAGTAAAAATCTAATTTTCAACCTAGATCTCAATTTTTTATGTATTAGAGATATTTCGGTCTGATAGTAAGTCTTTCTTATCTAGAACTAGACATTTTTCGATGAAAAATCCTTTTATCGATGGACATATACGAAGTGAGCATGATTAAGACATGCAAAACAAACACATACTTTCTACCAATTGGCGGAGCGCTAGCAGAGCAATCGGGGGACCCTTCTGGAAAAAAATGTCAAAGACAATAAGCGGTTATTGCGAAGAATTATATTATACAGTAGAGTATCTGTCCGAAGTTCAAAATAAAAAAAGAGCAATTCTTGATCGAAAAATTTGATATACAGTTTAAATGAAGGAAAAAGTGTATTAACACGGATGAAGGGAAGCACGTTTGTGTATGCGCTACTCTAAAAAATTGATTGCCCCCCTAAACATTATTTCCCGATCCGCCCATGCTTTCTACTTTTCGTTTTTTACTATTTTATCAAAATAGAATATTGTCCAATTAAAAAAGGTTATATATATTTTTTCAGATGCCGTTACTGTCGAAAAGCATTTAGTGATAGTTCAACATTAACGAAACATACCCGTGTTCATAGCGGAGAAAAACCTTATACATGTAAGAAAGACATATAATTCTATCGGTCTACTTCATTCTACCACATTTCTCATTTGTGTTTTAGGCGATTTATGTCATTTACGTTTTTCGCAATCAGGAAATCTCAATAGGCACATGAGAATACACAATTCACAAACAAAAAATTAAAATAAAAATCGTTTAGTCATAATATTCAATTGTGCATTTTCTTTGTTTATTATTATTATTTTTTTGTTGTATGCAGCGCTTTTTTTTGTTACTTTGCTCGAGTTAACCACCCTCTCAAACTTATATATGGATGTATTATGTATTACACACACATTATATTTTCGTGTTCAAATATTTTTACGATAGAAACCGTGTTTAAAAAGTCTCAAATCTGCTAACAAACATTTGATCACGAATAATGAAAAAACAAAAAATTATTTGAATATCTCTAGAATTTTTTGCGGTTCTAAACAAAAAATTATAAGGAATCATTCAATTACATTAAGATTAATGAAAAGAGGATTTCATTATCGCATAGGTTACAAGATTAGAACTTGGAAAAGTTCTGTACCGGTGGTTGCCAGCCACCTAGTCAGCACATTGCTTGCGACGTCGTATATGCTTACATATATATAATGTCTCTCTCTCTCTCATACACTATATACACACATGTATACATATATCTAGAAGCGTGTAGTGCACTGTCTACAAGTTACGTATTGAATAATTCGTTCTTCTCTTGATCGCATCAAATCGATAAAAAAAGCATTGGACAAGATCTTATTGTCATAAGTACAAAATATACGTGTATACATAGAAAGCAATCAAAAAATTTTCAAAATAATGTTTTCCACTATTTAAAGCTTTTTTTTCTCTATATTTGCAGCGTCCTCATTATCTTACGTATGTTGGAAGTTTTAACTCATTTTCGACACATCAGTCGTTTTATAGATATATAATTAAGTGATAGATTAATTTTTCTCTCAAACATGCATTAGAAGAAGTCACTATAAAATGTATTTAAAAAGTTTAAAACATACGCACACAAGTTTTCTATGTAATTCTTTCGAGAATGTACTAGAGTTTTCGTCGACTTTATCTGAATCGTTAAATATTAACAGGACTAGTACAATGCGAGCTCCTGATTTCGAATATTACATTCAGAAATTCTAAAACAACGAACTGATGCTCCATTTTCATCATTTTTTAACGAGATATTTTTGTGAGCTGAAATTGCCAGTTTAGAATCTGTATATGTAGGGCTACTGAATCTCTAATGGTGGAAAAATTCTAAAACGTTAAACAGATTTTTGAGAAAATAAGCTTGTTTTGTAAACCATATCTTCTGCACAGAATCAAGACAACGAGATATGCATTCGACGCTTCTTTTCAAGTTGGGATTCCTTTGATATTTTCCTGGAAAAAAGCCTGTTTTTTGAAAGTGCTCAAACAAAGACGAACACCTGTCTTTTCCACGTCGAGTACATTAAAAATGCATATCAGCCGGTGGCGGATCCAGCCCGCGAGTAAAAAAAGCATTTTTTCCCAGCCGAACAGCTTCAGAAAAAAATATTTCCATGGAGACCACACGTACCTTTTTTTAACCGCATGGACGAAGGAAAATTTGTGT